GGGAATATTTCTAACTCTGAAAACGCTCTCTAGCTGCTCTCTGCCTGACCTGCCCTTCACATCTCATCCAGGGCTCTGTTGTGTCGATTCCAGGTTTGTCACATCATCGAGTTAGCAAGGACAACCCCCAGACTGCTCTTTTAATGCCATATGCTCCTGCGGTGTGTGTGCTAAAAAGTGCAGCTGCTCACTGCCAGCCCACCTCCAGTTTTGCCACACAAGCCAAAGCTTCTTGCCCAGATGGTGCAGTTTTACTTGAAATGCTTGAGGATTTTTGTAAAACAGTATGGATAGAATAGAAAATAATTTTATTTCTATCATAGCAAGAAAACTTACTTGTTTTTTTTTTTACCAGTGGACATAAAATGATTGAAAGCATTGCATGACATTTTTCTGGGATTAGATATAAAACAGACCATGTCTGAGGTTAGGAGTCCTACTTTAGACTCACATTATCCTGGGATCTAGTCCAGTATTGTACAAAAAAGACCAGTAAAAATATTCACCAAACTCATAGTTTAGTTCTTACCTGCAATTATACCTTGAAGATTTCCTCTTCCAGGGCTGTAGGTATATAAGCACTTTCTCAGAGTCCTAAAAGGATGCCATAACCAGGAGTCTCTTTCGAGACCTTCCCACTGAGGTTCCCTTTGCTGAAGCAAAACAAATCGTATAATTTAGCTGGGATTTATATAGCTATATGAAGGGAAAGATATAAATTTCTAGAGTCAACAAGAAGGGTAGTTGTTGCGAGAACCAAATATATATGCAGGTAAAAACTAGGCTTCATAAATTATAAAGTGCTGAAGAGAGAAAGATACCAATGAAGAAATTGAGTTCAAATTCCTGGGATATGTCCTTTATATCACTGAGAATTTTTAATAAAAGCTTATGATTCTTAACTATTTCAGCTATAAAGTAAGTATGCTGATAGTACCATGTAGAGTTACTGTGATGAGTAAATGAGATAAAGTCTATAGAATGCACACAGATGGACGGACGGGGTATGTTTTGAAATAAGTGGTTGTTATAATTACTCTCCATGTTCCAGTCTCTGATGTTGAGCTCTGATGACAGGATTTGAATTTCCTGCAAGTTCAAGTCTTATACCTTTACTGTTTGTAAATATTCTGAAAAGCTAAAGCATGTTATCATTTGACATTTTCTGATTAAAAATATTTATGGTATTTTATGTGTCATTCCATTCATGTTCCTCTAATGTGAGGTTCCAAGCTTTATCTTTACTCTGATATTTTGTACTGATGCTGAGTTAGGTAAATATGACCTTAAGCATTACCTAGAAACTGCATCATCCGAGGTGTGTGTGTGTGTGTGTGTGTGTGTGTGTGTGTGTGTGTGTGTGTGTGAGAGAGAGAGAGAGAGAGAGAGAGAGAGAGAGAGGGAAAGAGAGAGAGAGTGTGTGCACTCACTAACTGGTGGCTTCCATCCGTATAACAAGAGTAGTAGCAGTCAGGGAATTTGAAATAAATCAGAAATGAATTAGACCTGTTCTCTGGGTCAGATGCATTTCACTAACTATCTCTGGAACTTTATGAGATAATCACTATTTTTTTTATTTTCTACTTGGGGAAACATGCTTGGAGTATTTAGAGACCTCTCTAAAGTCTGTTTCTTGGAAGGAAAAATAAACTCTAGAACGTAGGTCCACTTAACTTTATAAAGCAAAGAATGCCACTCAACTTCATAAAGAAAGAAGGAAGTATGAGAGTCACAGTATTCAGGAGTAGGTGCCAGAGATGCTCCTTGCTGAAATCTTTGCCAGTATCAGGGATTCTGGAGTACCGAGGTGAAAGAATAGAATGTAGGTGTGTAAGATGTACTTTTTGAAACATACAAACACACTTTTAAGAAGGACCTTCTGTAAGTTGGCACCATTCACGGGCTGACTGGGGGAGAGCCAGATGCCAGCCCCTTCCAGCCAATGGGTAGGGAGACAAGAAGAACCCTTCCCAACCCAAGCCACTGGCTGATCCAGAGAGACACAAGCTGTAATGATAGCTAATGAGATAAAATATAATTTAAGGCTTATAGTGTTTAGTGTTTCACTGACTTTGCAGGTCTAAACTGGTAGTCTGATCATCTATTAAGAGATAGCAACATTCAGTGTAACATCTATATAAGATGTCTTTCTGAAGGTGGTGGCCATTGTTAATTCCCTATTATCTTGTTTTGAAATCCTGTATCATTGTTGTTCTGCTTGGGAGGGTTTTATTCTGTTTTATCTTGTTTGGTTTTATTGTATCTGAAAGCATGGGCTGCTGTTTCAAAGATAACAAGTTACATTATGGTAGCCATTTTGGATTTACTATTGTCTTGTTTTGAAGTCTTTTGTTGAGTTCATTGTTTTGTTTTTATTGGTTCTGTTCTGTTCCTGTTTTGTCTGATTTTACTGTATCTGAAGGTATAGGCAGCTATTTGAAGACAAGAGGTATTATGGTAACCACGGTTGATTTCCTATTATCTTGTTTTGAAATCCTGTGTCACTTACACTATCTTGTTTTGATTGGATTTATTCTGTTTTATTTTGCTTGATTTTATTTTCTCTAAAATAAACTTTAAAATAAAACAGTCTCTCAATATATCACGTTTCCATCCTTTTCATTGGAAATACCTGACTTTGTCTTAGTTACCTATACCTTTAGAAAGTCTTTGTTATAAATTCTTGGCCATACATTTTTAATCATTTTCTAAAACTTATGGATCATTTAGCAGCACTTGAATAAAAAGAGTAAGGAAAAAAACATGTTTTTAAATAAATTTCTCACTCCTCACATTAAATAACTATTGCAGTAACTGAGCATTAAAATGGAAACCTAGAGTTTGGCTCTAGTACCAGCCTTTACAGTGCTTTTCCATCCAACTATGAACACATTACTAACCAGAAGAGAGGAAGGGGAGGGGAGAGTCCACGGGGAAGACAGGCTGAGGACCCTGAAGGTGACGTGTGACCTTGTGTGTCAGATGGGCTGAGTCAGGGCATCCATTGCTCTGTCTCATGGGTGACCAGTCAGGTTTTATTGTCTTCATTTAGCAGGAACTAAGCTTAAAAAGTTCACACTCAGGGCTGTTTGACTTTACATTAGACTGTAGTGTCTCCAGGGGGCCCAGGGCTGTTCTATGATGTTAAATGATGTTTCGCATGTGGCTATATATATATATATATATATATATAGAGAGAGAGAGAGAGAGAGAAGAGAGAGGCATGAATGAATCAGTTGTGATAAGACGTATAGATCTGAAACATGTAGGCGTTGATCAACATGGAGGTCCCCTCTTGGCCTCTGAAAACCTAATGGAATTGTTCTTCTCTAGGAAGTTCTGAGGAAGTATTCTCTATGCACAATAACTCTTTCTTTCAGTTTTAGGTTTAAATGAAATTGATCTAAACCTTATGCTATAATAAAAATAATCATTTGGACCTAAAAGCAATCTTTTTGGCATATTATGAAACTTATTGTTCCCTCTATTGAAAGGTGAGATAAATTTTGTGTTTTAAAGTTCTTTCAAAAGGGACCAGGGATATAGTTCAGTGGCATAAATGATCTGCCTGGCAAGGGTGAGATCATGAATTCAATCCCTGGTAGCAAAATAAATAAATAAATAAATAAATAAATAAATAAAACCCTCAAGACTGGACAGGTGAATAAGAGAATTATTCTGCATCTACTGCAGTACTGTGATTACTTGTATAAATGAACTCCACCTGTTTTATTCATATAATACACTTGAAATGACAGATTAGTGGTATGCTGGCAAACAAAAATCAACAAACCTACTGTGTCTTAGCCATTTCATGTTTAAAAAGTGAACACATTTTGTATTCTCAAAAGATAGCATGATTACAAGGATTAGTATAATTACAAAGATTTTTCAAAATAACCACTTAAGAGAAAATGTTTCAACTTTGCTTTATGATATGTAAAAGAAAAATACTTTTAAATGCTTAAAACAAGTAACTCTGGGTAGGGCTGAAATGAATCAGCAGGCACAAAATAAAGATCTTTGCTACATACAATCTGTAGGGAAAAAACCTGGAGCCATGTTTATCTTTTCATCTAACTGTGCTATTTTCATTATCTTTTTAATTTACTTTCTTGAGCAAATCATTAAAGTAAAAATTCAGGAGTCAGGGAGAGAACAAGTTGGCTTCTCCTGAGAATCAGCCATGCTGGAACTTGGGGGACAGACCAAGAAAGCAAGGAGCCATCAATCCTTCCTGGTAAGCAGTGGCCCGAGCCAGCAGTGGGCCCACCAGGGAGAGAACAAGCCAGCCTTCCCGTGAGCCTTCCTGTTCACAGGCTGAGAATCTAATGTCCCACCACCCCCACCCCATCACCCCAATCCCCAGTCAGCAACTGGATGGTTTGGAGGTGAGCCAGAGTTGACAGAAACTAAGGCAGATAAAGCAACTAAGTGCTTGTATTATTGGGTTGATTATGCTGACCTGGGGCCAGAGGTCTGAGCATCACTTGGGAGGATGACAGTATACATATAGCAAATAGGGGGGATTTCCTTCTGTCTTCTCTTTGAAGGTCAATATTGTTTTCACTGTTTTGCTTTGTTCTGATTCATTGTTTCGTTCTGTTCAATATTCTATTTGGATTGGTTTTATAGTGTTCTGTTTTTGGTTTGATTTTGCTAGACCTGACTGAATCGACAACTAATGTGAACATAACAAGATAGGTACCTATTACTGTTAGCCCGGTGTCCTGCTCTGAAGTTCTGTACCAGTTTCACTGCTTTGTCTTGATTGACTTTGTTCTGTCTTGCTTTTGAATTTTACTATCTTTAAAATAAAAATTCAATAAAATCATAGATCTGTGTCCATTTTTCCTAATACCTCTCATGTCTAGAATATTCCTTTTACATGTTACATTTATTTTATTTGCAAAAATAAGTGAATGAAAAGCAAAATTAATAATCCCACAGCTGTCACAAACAGAAAATGAAAATAAATGCTACTGTTTCCTGTCTTTTAGATATACAAAGATGAAAACAGCAACCAACATCTATATATTTAACCTGGCTTTGGCGGATGCTTTGGTCACTACCACCATGCCTTTCCAGAGCACCGTCTACCTGATGAATTCCTGGCCCTTTGGGGATGTGCTGTGCAAGATAGTCATTTCCATTGATTACTACAACATGTTCACCAGCATATTCACCTTGACCATGATGAGTGTGGACCGCTACATTGCTGTGTGCCACCCTGTGAAGGCACTGGACTTCCGGACACCCTTGAAGGCAAAGATCATCAATATCTGTATTTGGCTCTTGTCATCATCTGTTGGCATTTCTGCCATCGTCCTTGGAGGCACCAAAGTCAGGGAAGGTAAGAGCAATAATTGTCCTCCCATTTATAAAAACATAACTTTCAGTTATGTAGACTTTTAATTTAGGAGTAGGACATATAATTTAAATGGAAATAAACAGCAACAACAAAAAACTCAATGAAAATGTAATCCATGGTAGATGAGAAATAAAACAATTTTGCCTCCTTTTCCACCTGTAAACACAGAATGGGAAAATGACATTATCAGAATACAGATCCCCAGACTGTCTCATATTCTGCTTATCAGAATACAGGGAGAATCAAATACGGAACAACAGACATGTGGATTTTGGAAATGCAACTTGGCAATTCTAGTTGATGCCTTCTATTTCCTTTTCTCTTCTTTCTAACAAGAACCTAACAGATTAGCTAAACATACTGACTGTTTTCTCTTTTTTCCCTCAAGGTAAATCCCCAGATCACTGTTGTAACAGCTTTATTTGGCTCTAGACCATTCAGAATCAGGGTCACAGATGGATGGTGTTACAGTAAGCAGAATCATTAGATTCTGAATATACTCATTCTTACACCATGAAAACAGGATACCTGACATTTTCTGTGTTTCTTACTCTGGGATGCGTGGTGGAATACACTGATGATTTAATTGATTTGATGTGTGACCTAGGTTCAAGATTTTTAAGATCTCTTCAGATGACTCTGACCTGCAATCAAAATAGGAACTACTGCTTCAAGAGTTTTTGCTTTACTAGTAAAAGACAAGGCTCTGAAAAATAGTTTTATGCTAGAAATTCTGCTAGGGGTGGGCAGCTGAACAATCACTTTGATCTTTGTAAATGTTATTTAATGCTGTAGCAGGTGTTAAAGGCTCCAGGTTTCTAAGGAAGCTTGTGATACCTGTGAGCACAGATAATTGAATATATGTAGCAAGGACTTTCCAGGTCAAAGCAAAAGGACAGGTGCTAAAATCATACTACATTTTGCACAATGATTACATAGCTTATCTTTCCTTGTCTTTAGGCAGTTTTAAGTTTGCAGAAAAATTGAATGGAAAGTAAAGTTATATTATCCTAGACTCCACACATATACAGCCTCTTCCATTACCAACATCGCTTACCAGATTGGTAGTGTACATCACCCTACAATTGATTAGCATATACTGAGACATTAACACATCATTATAAGCCAAGGTTCATAACTTGTCTTAGAGTTAGTTCATCCTTGCTGTTGCATAGTCTGTAAACTTGGACAAAATACTTAATGACTTTTGTCTACTGTTTCTAAATGAAACATGAATTTTTCCTCCAAAGTTGTAACATGAATTTCTAGCACAGAGGCAGTGAGTAATAAACTGTAATGGTTGGCAAATTTTAAGAAATGCCTGATTACCTCTATCAGATAACTGTTTTAAAATGTGAATTAAATACACAAAATAATTTGTTTCTTCTTGGCGACAACAAATGGAAATAAATCATGAGAAACTCCTCTGAGGCTTAGGTGTTTGTGCAACACAATTGTAATTCGGGAGCAGATGTTACCTATACATTACCAGCATGAGAGGAGTAAGCTAAAAATAAAAAAAGATAAATGGCTTCTCCAGGGCAAATGAAGAACTGACTTTTATGGTTCACGTTACTCACATAGACTTAACCACTGTGTTCCTTATTATCTTTGTCAGAAAACGACATCTTAAAAGAAATAGGTTTCAATTAGCCTTCTGAAAAAGGAAATGAAGACAGATGTGGTTTCTTTGGGACAGTGGCTAGAGATGAATACGTGCAGATGCGATGGAAAAGATCTACCAATGTCAGCCAAAGATTAATTTGTGCAGCACAAAAGGAAAAATGGAATAAAATTATAGGAGGGCTCTGTTCTTCTCTCTTCTTAATTTTCTGAAGTAGATTCTATTTATGTGATGAAAGGTCATCTTAATTGGTCCATGCATTCATTTTGGAACGCTGTCCCACACTGTGTGTTAGGAGTCTTGGCTGAGCAGGAGGAGTACTGTGATACTCTGCCCACACTGGAGCCAGGGTATCTGACATTGGTAGTTCACAGTCTTGTGTTTATGAAGAATTCTCACTGAAATGGATCAGGCATCAATAGAATCAGAATACATATACATTAAGGACACAGATTCTAGAAGCAAACTGGTTAGGGTCAGATCCTGAATTCACCACTTACAGACAGTGTCATTTGCAGACATCATATAGAACTTTGGCTTCTTACCTGCAAAATGAGAGTAATAGTGATGCCTGTCTCCTCAGGTGTTTCCACATGTACTGAATTGATGTTGGTAAAGCAATGTCCTGTGTTTGCAAGCACTAGAGAAACACTAGGACCATCTGCTGGCACAGGGCTCCTCACAGGTCTTGGCCTGTGGCTTAGGTTTTCGAAATTTATCAAATACTCATTCAATAGCAAAGTCTGTGGCGTGGTATACAGCAGCATTTTATTTTAGGAATATGAATGCTGAATCTGATATTTTACACATAATATAGCTATGTATTATTTCTTTGGGGAACATAGTCTGCCTCTACAATTATGACAGTAGCTAAGAAGGATTATAACATCTACAATAAGAAATCAGCTTATTCTTTTTTCATGTTTTTTTTTTTTTTGTACTGGGGATTGAACTCACGACCTTGCGATTGTCCAGCAGCTGCTTGTGCCACTGAGCTAAACCCCAGCCCTTCAACTTATTCTTAATGAAAAAGATTACACACAAGGAAATATTGAGTTTGGTTATTAGATCTAATTCTATAAGCACGGAATTCATGCAGTGGTGGATGTGCCAGTGGAAGCCATGATCCTTTTGCATTAATATAAAAGGAAAAAAGACTGCTTTTTAGAATTTTTTGATCCATACATAATGGTATGCATTTGTAGCATTCAGTGTGATGTTTTACCACATCTATACATTATGGAGTAATCAGACAGGATAATTTGCATGTCCACCAGAGATTTATCATTTGTTAATGGTAAGAACATCCAAAATCCTCTTCTCTAGCTATTTTGAAATATGCGATGCATTATCGTCAGCTATAGTTGCCTATTGTGCCACAGAGCACCAGAAATCATTCCTCCCATCTAATTAGCTTTGTTATCTGTTGACCAATCTTTTTCCAAACACCCTCCCCAGGGCTCTTCTCCAGCTGCTGGTAACCACTGTTCTACTCGCAACATCTATGAGATCACCTTTTCTAGATGCCGGATATGAGGGAAATTATGTGGTAATTGAAGAAAGACCACTTTTTGAATTGTCACAATTGGAAAAATAGTTCAACTCAAAGATGCTCACTTTTTCCAGAAGTAGAATGTTTAATAAGAATGGTGATTTTGGACTAAGATTTATTAGGATAGGATTTCGTTATTGGTACAATTTCAGGTTCATTGAATTTTCTGGAGAATATTTGTAACTTCATTATTGAATATTTATTTTCTACTGTCCTATAAAACTAGCTATCATTGATTATTTAATCTATTCATCAAATATTTATTGAGCTCCTATTACATGCAACACAGTTTAGTTAAGAGAAGCTGATCTAAAGTTAAAAGATGCATCTAAATTCCACATTGGCCACTGTTCTGTTTTTTGGCAGTTTAGCTCTGTAAAAGCTCATGTAAATTGTACATGTTCTCAGGAATGTCTTAATGTCTACATAATATCTTGTTCATTTATTTAACAACTTATTTTCTTTATGCACTGTATATTCCAGACACCACCCTAGTTCCAGGGGTTGAATGTTGAATCAGTAGACAAGGTCCCTATTTTAAGGGTGTTTACATTCTGAATGGAGAGAGAAATGTTAGGAAAGGCAACACACTATTACAGTCTGGAGCACATTCTGTCTAGGACATAAACAGGGTGAGTACAGTACGTAGTGGAGTGCAAATTGGAAGGGAGAGGATGAACAAGAGAGGATCGTATTTAAATGTCTCTGAGGTGATGTTCAGGCTAAAGACAACCAAAAAGAGAGACAAAGCAGGAAGACAAAAGTTAGGCAGAAAAAAGAAGCAACACATGCATGTTTCTCACCTTTAAGAAAACCATGTTCATCAGACATAATAGACAAAAATCTAGGGCTGAGGAGGCTCAGTGGCACAGTGCCTGCCTGGCAAACACAAGGTCCTCAGTTCAATTTCCGGTACCAATAAATAAATAAATATCTAGAATGAGATACTTATGTTAACTCAGATTTTTCTAGTAAAGCACCATCAAAATTATTTAATAAATATGCTCCTCTCTTGATAATGGTGGTGACTTTTTAAAAAGGAATTAACTTCCCACAAACACTAAAGGAGAAACTGAAACTTGTTAATTTCTAATAGTCTTCACAGTAATAGTACTTTGGAAAATGACATTTTAGAGAATCAAAATTATAAGTTACTGTAGGAGTTTTCATTTACTACTCAAAGATTTGACTTGGTGTGTGGTAAAAAGAATCTTTCCATAATATCTTTTACTGTGTCCAAAATGATTAGATTTTTGTATTTTAAAGTATATCTAATTGAAGTTGTAATAAGATACAATTTGTTTTACTAAAGAATATTTAAGATTATAAAATATTTTAGTAAGCATTAATATAGTCATTTCACGGTCTGAAAAGAAATGTATTTTTAATCATTAAATTTATTGTTGAATTTAGATTTGCATAATGATCACATTCATCACGGAAAATTTGTACCTGTACTTGATATATCTCAGTTCCTCTTTTGGTTCCCAGTTCCCTCCCCTCTCTTCAACCTTTCATTCCCTACTTATTCACACAGCTTTATTTTCATTTTACCCTATTTTGTCATTTTTATTCTTTTCCCTTCCATCCCTTACCCCATGATGGATAAAAAAGATGAAGGCTTTTTTTTTATGCAACAGAGTGCTATTGAGCCATAAATAATTGAGTGTTCAAAGGAAGGAGGATGAAGTGTCGGAGAATAGCATTGCTTTTTGGTCTTCTCCTCCTCTAAAAGTTTTATTCATAGTTCCATACTGTTCTTAATCATAGTGGGTATGATTGTGTTCATTAAATCACAACACCTGCTCATATTCAGACAAATTTTGTTATCAGTTTTAATTGTCTCACAAGAGCCTGTTAATGTTTTTCAGACAAGTTGGTAGTAGTTCAATTTAATAGCTAAATTTAAAATATTTAGTCATTCATTACAAATATACATCATCTTTAATTGCCTGAGCCCTAGGGCTGGGAGAACAGTTAATACACAGAAGTGCAAATAAGTACCCATACTGCAACTTAACAATTGAGCTCTTTCAAAAACCATCAAGATCAAATCAGCTTTCAAGGCAGGTACACACCTGTAATCTCAGCTACTCTGGAGGCCAAGACAGAAAGGTTATTATGAGTTGGGCAGTTTAGGAAGATTGTCTCAACATCTTGCCATCACAGCAGTAATGCTAACGGGCTTCCTTTTGTGATTTTGGTTCTTTCCTCAGATGTGGATATCATTGAGTGCTCCTTGCAGTTCCCGGATGACGACTACTCCTGGTGGGACCTCTTCATGAAGATCTGCGTCTTTGTCTTTGCCTTTGTGATCCCCGTCCTCATCATTATTGTCTGCTATACTCTGATGATCCTGCGTCTGAAGAGTGTCCGGCTCCTTTCTGGCTCCCGAGAGAAAGATCGGAACCTGCGCAGGATCACCAGGCTGGTCCTGGTGGTGGTGGCAGTGTTCATTATCTGCTGGACCCCGATTCACATTTTCATCCTTGTGGAGGCGCTGGGGAGCACTTCCCACAGCACCGCCGCTCTCTCTAGCTACTACTTCTGTATCGCCTTGGGCTACACCAACAGCAGCTTGAACCCCATCCTCTATGCCTTCCTTGATGAAAACTTCAAGCGGTGTTTTCGGGACTTTTGCTTTCCCATTAAGATGAGGATGGAGAGGCAGAGCACTAGCAGAGTCAGAAACACAGTCCAGGATCCTGCTTACATGAGGAATGTGGATGGGGTGAATAAGCCAGTATGACTAGTCGTGGAGATGTCTTCTTACAGTTCTACAGGGAGAGACGAGTTCCATGATCCAGGTTTAACTCAGATTACTACCGCAGTATGAAATAGAAAGACTTTTATATGAAATTTAGAAATCTGATTGTCTACAGTCATCAGATGCAGGCTGCATCCATAATCCAGGCCAGTGCAAACATCGAGGCTGGAGGGATGGAGGACCAAAGGTTCCACCAGCAAAGGGGTTGCAAAGCGGTTGCACACTCTTGATGAATGAAGTCCTAGAACTTTTTCTTCTGGTTCCCTAGATTTACCCTTCATCTGTTGTGGTCTTTCTATGCAACTGGCTTCAAAGATCTATTTAAGCAAAACAAAAAAGAAAAGAAATGTTTGGCTTCAGGGCTTCATGGATATCCAATCCAGATGTTCAACACTAAGAGCAACAACCTCAAAAAGAGTGAGAACCATTTCAAGGATTCATACCTATCTCACTCTGCTAGATGGAGATACATTTAATGTGGCTGTATGGTGAGAATTCCTGCCTCCCTAGGATTTGTACACACTCTTGAGGCACCTGATTTATGATGGAACATTATCTTGACATTTCTAAACTTATTTAAACACACAAAAGGTGGATAGAAACATAGTCTAATATTTTGAAAACTGCAACTATTTTTTAGCATGTTCTTCAGCTAAATCTTCTGAGTAAGCATGTGCCAATATCAAGAAGTGTATATAAATACCACTGGAAGTGTATATAATTTCATTTGTTCCTAGCAGTCTATGTGCAAATGAGAAATGGGTTTCCTTTCTAGCCTGGAAATTTCCAAGGGTATACTAACGATATCCTGAGTTATTAGGAATTGGCAGAATTGATACCAAGGTATTTTGCTGTAATGTCAACAATCAGTCACTATCTGATTTCTTTCAGACTCCCAAACATAACTTAGTCTTTTAACAGTACTTAAAACTCAGTGCTAACAACACCCAAACCTTCATCTACTCTCAGATTGGAGCCTTAGCAGAAGTTAATTCATTTGTGGCATCTCTTCATGAATATATGGCTGTTACCAGATTCTCTCCTGTTCATAGAGAGAAAAGGTTTTGATTACATACATCTCAAGGTATTATTTTGAGGCTTCTGTAGGAAGTAGAATTGTTCCTAAATGTGTACGGAATAAGGACATTATGTCAGTTGGGGTGCCTGGAGATAACTTGCATTGTATTCTGTGAAGGGTGTAACTGCTAAGGATAATGCCATGAAATAGTACATTTAGGAGAATTTTGCTACCCCAGCCAGATGACATTTAAATTCCTTATTCATTCCCCTAAAACTCAAAGTAATGGCTTTTCTATAATTTTCCTGGGATGAAGAAAGGGACAATGTAGAAATAATACCCATCTTCAAGCCTATATCTTATGAAAGCATCCCCCTTTGGAATCTGATAGGAGCATCGAATGTGTAGACCTACATAATTACAGGCATCACTATATCCACAAATTCTTCTCAGTCTGTGCTTTCTCTGTAGTGTCTGTTACCTCTCATTCTGAAAATGAAACCTTGCTTGGAAGGTTTTACATGTGGCTTCAGAATTTTACTGTGTCTTGAAGGTTTATATGGCACCTACGATACATAGTAGGAATTTTTCTTAATGAAAAATATAGTGCTCTTTTGAGTATTTCTTAAATTTCAATGAAATTCCTAGGTGTGCTTGAATTCTTGTCACTGAGTGTAGATAGGAACAGTTTAAATTTTGGTTGACACTGGTGTGTAATCTTGCCTATCATGCAAGAAGGATGTCTACATAGGAACTAGTTCCAGGGAAAAATCCGATTGAAATGAGAAACTGCAAACCTCTTTAAAGATCAGCAAAACCAAAATGGAATAGAGATAGCATCATGGAATGAAATTATATGTAGTAGTCCACTCACTTGAAATCAGTATTCTTCCATACGCTGTTCCAACAGTAAGTGTCATCATTGGAATCTGAATCTGCGTATAGGAAGTTGCAGCCCAAAGAGAGAAATGGTAGCTATTTTGCTCATGTGATGTGTTCCAGGCTTCAGAATTACTGTTAATGCTGACTTTCCCCCAAGTGAAGGAAGAGAGATAATATGAAAGAGTGTCTTTTTAAGGGCACTTTTTAAAGGAATAATAAACTCAGTCACTTATGGTAGGAAAAAACCATCTATATATTTCTTTGTCAAAAGTATATATTTCTTTGTCAAAAATATTTTTCTTCCCTCAAAAGAGAGAGGGAAGGAGAAGAAAGTGAAACAGAGACAGGAAGAGACAGAGAGAGAGAGAGAAAGAGACAGACAGACACAGAGACAGACACAAAGGCACAGAGAGAGCGAGAGCTAATGTCGATGAGTGTCTGTCCGGTGCTGTGAAGCAGTGACACCATTGCCAATCTCTCTCCACCCCAAGCCTCACTACCTCCCAGATGTTGCCCATCTCCTGATATTTCTGCTCTTCTATGTAAAGGAGGGCACCGCCTGCTGCGTCTCTTAGATACCAGCACTGTACACATTTGACCTTTAGACTGACTCACTATGAATTCTATCTCCTCACTGGCAACAAATTTAGGAAGACAGGACTTCCTAAAGGGTCAGAGGAAGTGAAAACAAACTGGCTGTGCAGGAGACAGTGGTGAGGATGAAACCCAGAACTCCAGTGGGAAGGAGGAGCGAGGAAACACTCTTAATATCATTTAGCTACTTATGAAGCTTACTTTACCTAAATAATTAAGGCAAAGCTCCAGGCTTGTTACTGAAAAGAAGCAAAGTTTGAAAACATTGTTTGGAACGAAATTTTTAAAATCCACATATATTTTAGGAAAATGATTTCTTCTTGTGGTATATTACTGAAAAATATTCTTCAACTTATATCAGAATTTATAGGCATTTCATTTAATGGAGGGGCATAAGACAAATAAGTGAAATAGAAGAATTCATTGGCTGGCTTTAGATCAGAATTTTTAAGGGAAATATTGTGGCAAGATTTTATGTCCATTTAGTGGGATTTATTTTCTAAGCAAGACTTCTCTGGGTGATTCAGCATGAATATGAAAATCTCATCCACACAAAGCCTAAATCTGCTTGCCCTAAGGTAATTTTCTCTGAAAGAGAAATATAATAGCATACTCATATTCTTTATTATAATGTATATTATTTACATCTTGTACATTTAGAAGATGATAATTATACATTGTGTATATCATTGTGTGCCTTGCAATAAAACTAAAATTGTACCTAAAAATTGCAAAAGTCAATTACTTGGTAAATAATTTATTCTTCAATGACTTTAATAATGCTACATCCACCAAGTTTACCCTAGAGTGATCAAGTCTAAATCATATGACACTTTGCAGAGTACATACCCAAGTATTGTCACTGTGAAGAGAACATCAAGGTATAGGGATAGTCTGCAGAAAAGACCCAAATAACATCTTTGCTTTTATAGAGGACAGGGCTTTTCTGGGTTTACCACCCTGCTCATAACCACACGTAAACCTATGTCCTATTTCAGCAGCAGCTCAGTCAAACTGCAGTGAAAATTGAATGCTCTCTATGAGATAAAATAAAAGCACCAATAAATACTGGCTAGATTTGTTTTGATGATGACATTTTCCTTTTCTGTAAAATGCAAGGTATTTTTCCACAGCCTGTTTTCATTTTGGAGTCTCTTCCGACAAGTACAGGATGACCCTCTCAAGGCGGTCTGGCAGCTGTGGTTTCTTCGTCTATGATACTGTTTCCAAAACTTATTTTCAAATGTAAAAATAGATCACAGCCTTTGTTTAAGCCATAGTTTGAAATCTTTCTAATTTGGATTTTAAATGTCCCCCAAAGCTCATATGCTACAGGTTTAGTTGCCAGCCGTGGCATTACTGGGAAGTGATGGGAGATTGGAAGGTAGGGCTTAGTGGAGGAAGCTGGGGCATTGGCGTGTGCCCCTGAAGGTCTCTTATAGTCCTGGCTCCTCTCTCTCTCCCTTTGCTCCTGCCATGGTGTTCAGCCTTGCTACAGGTATAAAGCAAGGAGGCCAGGCAACTGTGGACTCCACCCCTCTGCAACTATAAGCCAACTTAAATGTTTTCCTTCCTTTAAATTTTGATCTTAAGTATGATCTTAAGTGTATGGGACACTAACATAGTTGTTCCCTACATAAGCATTTGATTCTAAGGACTGCTTTTTAACAATGGAGGGTATTTTCATTTAGAACTATATTTACACAAATTTGATTTAACAAAAATATCATATTGTGTGATTCAAATATTAGCTCAAGTTTAGTAAAGTATTTAAACATTTCCAACCTCCCCTTCAACACAAACACAGACACACAGACACACACACACACACACACACACACACACACACACACACACACACATATGCATGCACACCATGTACCACACATCTTGACATGGATTGAAGTAAATGTTGGCCAATATCATCTCTGCTGATCTCTGATGAATCATTTGCATCAGGTTTTCAGGTACAGTGTTTCTATGCTTTTATGACTTGTGATTCATTGAAGATTAAACTGAGTTTTCTCAGCCATATATTTTTGAGCAGATTTTGCTAGTATCTTTTTCAACATTATCATATAAGAGATCCTAATGATTGGTAGTCAATGGGAAAAATATCACCTGTGTTACCCACACTGTCTAGATTGTAACAACATAGAAAAGAACCAAGATTCAGTCACAAGAAATAGTACAACCAACTTTGATTGGCCTCCAGGGAGAAGCCCATGTTATGAATAGTTTAACTGGCAAGTAGTTCTTGGTCATTGATTCTTTTCATAGTTTCTTCTGCCACTGGAAAATCACATAGCTCATAAAATAATAAAACTTTATTTAAAAGATCTGACTCAGTCAGGGCTTACTGCATGCTCCAAAATGGCAGCTTGTGTTTCCTTCTGATGACCTTCAAGCAACATGACCTTGGTGCCCATTGAGTGTCGGTGTAGGCCCCTTCCTTGAACCTAGATAGAGCAGATTGTAGCCTTAATCCACAAAGTATGTGATTTCTAAGCCTAAACCAAATTTAACATGCACTTCTTACACTCCCTTGGGAAGCTCGCTCTTGGAAGCAGCTGCCATCTTGTTAGAAAGCATGAAGAAGTCTTTACCGAGAAGCCATGTCACTCCCCGGCCCCAGGCAACAGAGTGCATCGACTGCCAGGCAAATGACTGTAGGCACCTCCCTATGATTTCAGCCCAACCCAATCATCCCCAGCTTTTGAGCCAAGAACCCAGCTAACAACTCCAAAATTATGAAATTGAGCAAGCCATCCTTGTCGTCTTCAAATTCCTTGCCCAAAAAATCAACGAGCAGAACAAAATGGCTGTATTATACTACCA